GTCGACCCTTGAGGCACCGTCTCCAAATCTCTTATAGTATCGTCAGCCAGGGTTGAGCCGTCTTTTAGGGTTTCACCCCACCCCCAGCCCCGCCCCACCCTTAGACCGCCCCGCCCCGTGTCACGGGCCTCATGGCCTTGGGGCGTGTGCCGCCGACGGGCCGAGTCGGCCTGGACAACATTAATCGAGGCGGTCCAGCCCTCCTAGAAAAAAATAAAAGTCGGTACGAATATGGTGTAGAACTAGAACTACACTTACTCCATACGTTTGCCTTTTGTGTTGGACACCCGTCCATTTGCGTGAGCACCGCGCAATAAACGAGTAGGAGTAGGGCAACATTCTGCACCCTCCACCACCACAATATTTTTCGCGCGTTTATTTTTTTCTGATTTGAGGGCGACATGTTTACGGCTGCGTGGTAACCGAAAGAAAGATGACTTGGTGGGCGGGCGCGAGCAGGCAGGCGCGGCAGGAGCAACGAGCTGTGCGCGACCTTCACTTCCAAGAAAAGCTTGATGAAGGAACGGTGCCGTAATGCCGTTTGGCGTAAAAAGTAATATATAACAGAAGCGAGAGAAGCCGCCGCCGTCTTGCCGTGCCCCGCGACGCGCCGCCGTGTCGCAAATTGTATTCCCCCGCGGCTCTTCCGGAAATGAAGAAGATATCCCGCGTCTCAATGAACGCCCCCCTCACCCCTCTCCCCCTCGTCTCCGGATGGGGCTAATTTCGTTTCAAACCCCGTCGCGACGCGCAGCGCGCTGCTCGCCACACATCGAGAAACGCGGTGGGGATATCTTGCTACTTGCGGTCCTCATCGCATAGTGATTTTCCGCACGAGGACACTTTAGAGCGGAGAGAGAGATAGAGAGAGAGTCGTTGGGTACAGAACACCCGAGCGGAAGGGACGAGCGGGGCGGGAGGAGAAGGGGGGGGGGGGGATATTCCTACCCCAAAACGAGAGAGACTTTTTCTTCATCGCCCAATAAAGGCGAGGATCGCAATACGTGAGTAATATTTGTTTTCTTAAGGACTTAATTTGTTTAAGAATCCGATCCATGTAACGCGTAATAAAAATGCATACGCCAGATAAAAAGTT